TCACTCGCTTTGCTCCCTCGGGCTTTGGGTTCGCTTCCGCTCTCTCGCCGTATAATCCCCCACATTTCACTACATTATTGCTCATTTGGTGCCCCTTCTTTTCTGCAAATTCTTGGATCCGCCCCTGGTACTACCATGTATGGTAGCATCACAAACCCAGTAAAGCAGCGAAGGGAAGCCAAATCCAAATTCATCAGCAATTTGCCGCACTTGCTGGGCATAAAGCTTACCTTGCTCAATTCTTTGCTCTTAACAAGCATGACATTAAGGTGTATTTATTGCCCTCACCTAATGAAAATAGTCGGCATGAATAAAGGTCATTAAAATGTTGCTGTGTTTTTGGACTATTTGGTTTACTGTTTGCTTATGTATTATTATAATGAATTATTATGCTGCATGATTATACATTATTATAATATATTATTAGCTCTTTATATGTTGTACTTTAGCGTCATTGTTTCAGTTCAGTGACAACAACTGTAAGCAACTTGATGTAGTCCTGTCCTAAGTGAACTACTTGTACTGCCTTCTGTTCGTGACATGCAATGCTGCATGCTGTGTGATCACTGTCAGGCACGCTGCAGCACTGTCCTAAAAGGTGGGGGAATGACAGATATTTCAATTTTTTTTATCACAAACTTCCACTTATTTGTTCTCTACCATTTTCTAAGGCTGTATGATTGTTGACTAATTATATCTGGTTAGTAATGGTGGTTGTCATAGTCTTATCTATAGCACTTGTAGCACTGATCAGGATAAGGCACTCATTTTATTATGCCATATTTCAGCAGTTAACTTTTCCTAGAGCATTTACTGCGTCGTGTTTGCTTGTGTGCATTTGCAATTCATCGCTGTTTCATCGCGCATCTGTGTAGAGTGTATGTATATGTGCTAATTTCTTTGTGTGCACCTTAGAATGGGTATAACTTAATTACCATGTAATACTTAATCCAGTGCTTTGAATTTAAATGTAATTTAAATCATTAGTATAAGTTTCAATAATGAGGCCTAAATTTTTAATGCTTCAAATTGATAGTCATTAGAATTATAGTTGGTTAATCAGACCTGCATCAACTCATCAAATATTTTAGATGAATTATATAACAAACAATAATTATGAACTGATTTTTGGTTCTAAGTAGAGATTTAAGGGCATATGACACCAGTGCACAGAAGTGCAAATGTAAGAATTATAATTAGGTCACACTCTTCAAGATTCACCCTTGATGTATATATTATAATATATATTATCTTGTTTTATCAGTGGATGACTGCAGGTAGAGGCGTGATGCACAGTGAGATGCCTCATGGAGACAAAGAGGCCATTGGACTGCAGCTTTGGGTGAATCTGAAAAAAACTGACAAGATGGTGCAGCCATCATACCAAGAACTTAAAGATGCAGACATTCCGAAGGTCACAAGTGAAGGTGTCACTGTCAAGATAATTGCAGGAGAGACCATGGGAGTGAAGGTGAACGTAGTCTAATATAATCAATGCATTGATATATGAATCTGTAATAAAATTGTGGAGGTTTATCACACAGGGTATTTTTTTACAATGGTAATTATATTTGGCATTGAGGTGTATGTTCCGAAAGTGGTTTTTCTTCTGATTATTGGTTATATGCTGCTTATAGTCTCAAGTAAGAACGCTGACTCCAAGCTACTATTTTGACATTTCGATGGAAAAAGGGGCGCACATGAAACTACCTTTGCCGAAAGGCTGGACCACGTTTGTTTATACGCTCACTGGAACTGTACAGTTTGGTAATGTACATGATGTCAAATGCAATATATTATCAGGAGTGAATAATAGAGGTTTATATATTATTCACTCCTGATATTATATTACAGTTATGTGAAAGTTGGTGCAATTAGTTTAAATTTTACACAAGTGCACATTCGTGGGCGTACTGCATGCATGTGAAACACGATACTTCTAACGCTACAGCTCGTTAATTGTACCATTATATCTCTGAGATTGCTTTTCTCTTTACCTGTATTGTATGGCTGTGTTATGGTGAATTCCAGTGGCATAAAATGTTTTCTATTACCCTAAAGGCATTTAAAAAATAATATAGTCGTATTGATTAGATAGATCATACAGTTGGAGTCCTACCCTTTTGTTCTAGACACCAATTTCAGAAAGTCGCATATTCAGGGCAATCCCACATCCTAGCAAATTGTTCCTACGTCCAGGACTGTATGTACTAGAGACAAGTAGATTAGGAATCATAGCCTATCCTTGCTTCTGATGGCAATTCTGTATTTCAGGACCAAGTGCACAGGTAAAGGAAGTAGAAGAGCACAGTACAGTCGTGTTTGAAGATGGGGAGATGGTGGAAGCACAAAATAAGGGAGATAAACCAGCTCGGTTTGTGCTGCTGAGTGGCCAACCTATAGGGGAACCTGTGGTGCAGCATGGTAAGTATCATACATTTCTAACAGTACAGAAGAATTGCTTCACGAAGAGTTATACGTTGTGATACCATGGATGTGGCACTACTACAACATTGCCATGCTGTAACACGTCAAGATTGAATACTTGAAGTCTTAAAGTAATTTTCCTCTAAAAAATCATTCTGTAATGTGCACAAATATATATTAATTGAGTGTTTGTTTCTTCAACGTCATATTCAAGGACCATTTGTGATGAACACTGCAGAGGATATACAGGCGACAATCAAGGATTACCACAATACCACGAATGGCTTTGAGAGAGCCCGAAAATGGAAGTCAAGATCTGGTAACAGACTGCTACAGAGTTCTTAAAGTTTTACGAGTTGTATTTATACTTTGTACCACTCTGAAGGTGTTTTTACTATTTTCACTGTTTTAACATTAGCCCAAGGTAGAGGTTGCATCATACCTTGTGATGAGAATTCTGGTTGGAGTTCCTTGATTGATATTCGGTTGCATTCAAGCGATTCGTGATTGATTGATTATAATTGGTTAATCATGATGATCGGGAATATTGAATGGGTAATACTAATATATATAGCTGGCACATGTACTATTTATTTCACTTCACCTATTACTAAGAGATCTATTACAGCATTTCTGTTGCATTGGTTTAGTGTAATCCTCATTATAATCTCCAAACCTCCTCAACATGTTTCAGGTGGTAGGGCTGCCAGCGCTTTATTTTGTTTTCCATTCTTAAATTTTTATATAGCCCTGCATTATTGAGTGGTGATTTTTCGTTTTATATTCGATTAAAAAATGGCTGCATGGATGTTTGGTGACTATCACATTAAATTTTGAAAATTTAGCATGACGATAGAGTAGGGGCAAGTATTGCACACGAAGTTTGTCAGTGCATTAGCGTTGTCTAACATGACGTATATATAGGAGGGACATCTATAAAGGTTAAACGATACTGTACCCATTGATATTACATAGTAGTTAATCAATATTTTGTCATGTCAATTAAATGCGAATCTGTTAAGTGAGGCTTAAACGAGGCATGCTGTAGATGTTTGCTGTCTTCAATTAAACCAATTTAAATGTGTCCATTTATGAAAAAACAAAACAAGCTCCACTGACTTGCATTGGCACATTATAATCATGTAAATTCAATGTAAAATTTGCTACGAAATACTGGTAATATTCCATCCCAAGTGCACTTTTCAAGTAGTTAATCAACTAGCATAAACGAATTATTTGTATATAAATATAAAATGTTGCACAGCAAGTTGGATCATTGCAGTTTACGCTAGCATAGAATCTATGTGTGGGTGGGTAAGATATTTTTAACGAATCCGGATAGCTTGTAGACTGTCTGTATGATAACCATGTGGAAATAAAAACTCATATTCATTTATAAGTGTGGCAGAATACTTTTGCACTCAAATGTGTCCTTTAATTAATTTGCTGTATTTCCTGTCCAGCTAGCATTCCAAAATAGCAACCGTACTACAGAAGCTGCATCTAGAAATGCTCTTCTAGCAGGCTAGTATGAGTGTATGCTTTCCTGTAAATACGATTAGAATAACTGTATATCAGTTTATAGATTACATGGGATATTTGTTACCACCAACATATTGTGCAGTATATAAAGATGTACACGGTATATACAAAATTAAACACACTGCAATTATATGGAGTATGTTAATTTATTATGATCGCAAAAAACACCTTTGACCCACCAGACAGATGCAATCTGTAGTAGAAACACCTAATCGTTAGGCTGAGGTATAATTTATAACTACATATATATATCTTATGAGTGTTTAAATGGACTCTAAATGACTTGCATAAACTTGCTAGTGATTTTCCGAACCAAGGAGATTCATAGCTATGGTTATCATTTACTACTATCAATATAAACGTTTTGCAATGCAGTACTGATTCATATTGTAACAAACCGCTAAGAAATGTGACAGTGAATTAATGGACAGTGAACAATCATTTGCGAATTTAAATGCAGCTAAAAGGTCAATCACATTTATCAACAACACAAGCTTACAAACTGTTCGTTGGAAGGAGCAGTTCAACATCAGTTGTGAACTTTTACAAATGCAAGTTAATGTTAATTCATACTTTTTCCCCAAATCTGGAAAGTCAACATTTTTGTTTGTACACTTCAAATACTCATCTTCCATGTGACAATTAAAGTCAATTAAAGTCATTTGGTGGAGGGGTCATGAAAAGGTGTATGGGCCGTGTATGCTTGTTATAATGTTGATAATTGTGAACAGCTCCCTACAAACAGCATGCATTTTTCATGCATCACACACGTCTCTTCAACACACGTTCCTTCTACTAATTCTATTAGCATCGCATCCACAACATGCACAGTGGCAGGGTTAATTAATTATATCACATTTGATTGGCACCGTAACACACGACAAAGGAATATCAACTGGCTCCCATCAAGCATATAATCTTATACCTCATAGGTTAACACCATCGATGTCTCCCAGTAAAATCCATTATGGAATTGTAGCAAAATGTATATTTTATACAAACACAACAGATCTCAATTAAAATTAACCATATTAATTTGTATACGTATGACTTCATTTGCAGAAAGGTGACATTTTATGACATCTCACTTATAGTAAATATATTACTTACATATATATTTATATATGTAAATATATATTTTAACTGAATACTTATAGTGATTATAGAAGTACATCCTAATAGTTAGTAAAGTAAAGCAAGTATAGTAAAGTTTGTTCCTAATGCATGTAAGTGTACCAAATTCACAATCAACATGGTCAAAATATCTAAACGAGGCTAAACTGGCTTTAAAAAACATGCACACTATTACAACCTCCTAAATATTGTGGATAAGAAGAATTATGGAGTTAAGTTCATGTGTTAGATTCATAACTTAAGGGGCATGTAGCACATTTCTCAAAAGTGTGATAGTACACACTGTCTGTTTTATTAAGCACCCGATAACAGCAATAAATCATAAAAATGTGCGTTCACAACAATTCAACACGTTAGTTTATCATCCTCATCATCATAATTACCCTCACCGGCTTTTAAAAATGGAACGTTACTACAGTTTTACTGTAAAACTATGCAAATGTGTTGGCTAAGATTTCTTCACTTTCCTTTGCAAATACCTTTCCTATGCCAGTGGCAGGAGCTGGCATCGTGGGACGACCAACAAAGGATAACTGAAACAACATCAACCGTATAAATAGTGATAACACATACATCAATAATAATAATAACTAGAAATGGCAGTTGTCGCCAACCACATGTATCCCCCGCGATCTAGTATGAATGAAATATCTCCTGGTTTTGGTACACGACACACCTTCTCCCCAAGATGTGTAAGTATACCAAGTTTGCTCGCGCGGGGTCAATTAGGGTCCGAGTTATAGAGCGGAAGGGAAATATGATCAAGGTCAAATAAAGGTTGCAGTGACCTGGTTTTGGTACGCGACACACCTTCTCCCCAAGATGTGTAAGTATACCAAGTTTGGTCGCGCTAGGTCAATTAGGTGCCGAGTTATAGAGCGGAAGGGAAATATGATGAAGGCCAAGGTCAAATAAAGGTCGCAGTGACCTGGTTTTGGTACGCGACACACCTTCTCCCCAAGATGTGTAAGTATACCAAGTTTGGTCGCGCTAGGTCAATTAAGGGTCGAGTTATAGAGCGGAAGGGAGTGTCTGCGGCGGCGGCGGCGGCGAGCGGCGGCTGGACAGATATGAAACCGTAGTATCCCCGCCGACTTCGTCACAGGGGATACAATAAATATTAATAAAAACAGTAATGAAATTACAGTTATGTAAATATGTTAGTAAAGTGAGTGATTACTTTTGCTAGTTTAATGAGCAGTAAACACTTCTTAACAACAATAATATTGTGACAAATTATAGGAAGACTGTCACTTACCTTAATTCCCACCAAGTTCTCAAATCTTGGCGACACAAATGACCAGGCACCCATATTACGTGGTTCCTCCTGACTCCAGATGTAACCTGTGGTGGTAGAGCAATCGAATTAAAGAACAAATCAATACGAAATAATATAAGATCCATATCATGAGTTAATAATATTTCTAATTCTGTCGAGCAAACTACACTCCCACCAAGTACATTAATTGTTATTATATGAACAGGGCTGTATCCTGAGCAAAGAATGCAATCAATGAGCATGAAGTGCACAGCTGGGTGATCTAACTGAATTATAATAAGAGATTACTTTTTTGATGGTTTGAAGAAATAGCATAATTGATGTAAGGTACGATTATGCTGATGGAACCATTATGTGCTATTATCTATCATATTTAATTTTATAGTTATTTATATTAACTTGACAAAATTATTTTTTTCTTTCTCCAAAATCTATGAAGCACTTGCCCCCATGCTTACTGAAGTTTGCAGCCTTGTCTATTAGTACTGACACAACAACACGCTCCTAGAATTTACTAGTAGAGATACCCAGCATTGCACAAGTAAAAATATGACAAGATGCAATTTAAAAAGGTGGAATTCCCCCAGCCACCTTCCCTACGCCCCCAAGCCACTCTGCTTTATTCCTCTTATGCTCACCCTCAGCTACCTTCCCTGTGCCCCCGGCCAGTCTGCTTCATTCTGATCACCTACCCCACCACTGTCTCATTCACTTTCCCCGGCCACACCCACTGTTGCATTATACTCATCTCGCCCGCCTCGGCCCGCCTGTCATTCAGCTCATCTGTCTGTATGTGAAGGAACAGGTGCATATAGCGCAAAACCACAAACATTAACATAGACTGCCTAAGCTTCAGCATAGACTATCTGACTATAGAGCAAATGTGCGCTAACCTGACCTAGGAGGCAACGTGCATGTCTATGAAAAATCGGCTCTCTAGGTCTCTCCATTTGGTGATGATTAGAGGAGGGATGGTCGGACAGGCAACCATTAACGGCAAAGAGACTTTCCTATCACTCACTAGATACTTACTTTTCGCCTGAGGAAACTTTTTAACCTCTTTCTGTAGAGCTTCCATCGGAAATGGACACAATCCCTATAACAAAGTAACATTTGGCTACATTACCAATCACACACTACAACATACACGTACAAGGACAAATGAGCTGGATTATCCTTGCACTCTACATGTTGACTGGTGCAAAGGTATTGACACATTTAAACTGCCCGAGTATTTAACGAAAAATGCAGTGGCAGGCATCACGTATATAAATTCATTACGATACATTATATGTAATAGATAAGTACATGGATTAATGCCTAGTCACCTCCTGTATGTTGTGAGCATTGCTTCTTTTTCCACAAATGACAACAAAAATACACCAGTACAATAGTACCATAGAATACATGTGATTATCGAAACTGAAACTAGTGGTGTTATTGTACCTGCTAAATCAAGGCACATAGCGCACTCACCTCCACCCTGACTATCGCAGTATCGGTGGCAGCAATCGCACTTCTCTGTTTCTGTAGTGCGTAGAAGTGCTTGCCACTGCAGAACACCACCTTCTTGACAGCACCACTATCGGCGGCTTCATCGGAGAGCACAGGCTGGAAGTGTGTACCGGGCGCCATCTCTAGAATGCTTGAAGTCGCCGCCGGCAACCGCAATAACGTCTTTGGAGAGAAGACGACCAGCGGTTTCCTGTAGTTTCTTACCATCTGTAATGCAAAGATAAATCACATCATTATCTTTTGAATTCACGCACGTTTGATTTGATAGACCTCACTGCCAACTCATTATCTGCTATTATTTCTTATTTGTCATATACGGATGTAAAAAACGTTCAATAATCTGATATATTTACCGCAAAAGGTTGTAAAACCTAATTACCCGTAACTCAAACACTTGCCACAGTTACCTCGATAAACTCGATTCTGCTATAATTTCCAACTATAAAGCTGACGAGCTAAACCACACATCAATGATGGCTCATGGAAGACAGACTACTACAAGCAAGACCCACGAGGCTGGTGCAAGCAACACCGTGTGCACAAAGCACAGCAGTACTGTATGCAACAATACCTAATACAATAGCACCTGTTATTATTCATACCTCATATAAGTAATAAGTAAGTAGTAAGTATGTTAGTATGTAGTAAGTAAGTGAGAGAGAGCATGATGATACAAGTAACAACAATTATGTGTGACTAAAAGTGAGAGCGTGCTGGTACAAGTAACAACAAGTATGTGTGCATATAAATGAGGGCATGCTGATATGAGTAACAACAAGTATGTGTATAAATGAGAGCATGATGATATAAGTACCAACACGTATGTGTGAGTAAAAGTGAGAGCATGCTGGTACAAGTAACAACAAGTACGTGTGCATATAAATGAGAGCATGCTGGTACAAGTAACAACAATGTATGTGTGAGACTGTGAGTATAAGTGTATACTATCTATATATTATTAATATCTAATATAAGTAATAAGTAAGTACTAAGTATGTGGATAAATGCATGATGATATTAGTAACAACAAGTATGTGTGAGTATAAGCATAAAAGTATAAGTGATAATAATAATAATAATAATAATAATAATAATAATAAGCATAACAGTTTTAGTATAAGTGAGAGCGTGCGTCGCGCACCTGTCTGCGCAGCAGGTGGAAGTACTGAGCGGGCGTGGTCGGGTTGGCAACGTGCAAGTTGACGTGGTCGCCGTCGGCTGCGTCGTCGTGGCTGTCGGTCAGCTGAAGCCAGCGCTCGACCCGCGCGGACGAATGTTCGGGTCCCGCGCCGTCGTAGCCGTGCGGCAGCAGTATCGTCATGCCACTCTGCGTAAGCCACTTTGCTGCGGAAATGTAACGTGGGGTTAATCGCATATAATCTGTTCTCCTGGAAAGATTTGGCAGGAAGCTCTATAAAATCATTCACACACCAATCATCAAATCATTCAATGAGGGAGCTTCATTTCTGTACATATGGTAGAATGTTCTAAAAGAGAATATTTGGCTGCAAAAAGGAAATATGGATGCATGGATGCCTCTGTGATTCTGTAAGCTACTATACTAGACTATTCTAGTTGAGGTAAACAATGTTTGCAATCTTAAGAAAGCATGGGACACTTACTCTCCCCAGACGAGATCATCGTATCAATAATGATTTGTGCACCATTGAAGAAATCTCCAAACTGTGCCTCCCATATGCAGAGGCAGGTTGGATTATCTATGCTCATGCCATAATCAAATGCCATCACTGCCTCCTCGGATAAAATGCTATTACAAACCTGCAACAAAAATGTACCAGGTGCAGTCTGTGAGTTATGGAAAATTACAGATAATATAACAGCAATAGCATGCATAATCATGGGATACCAGGGGCCGGTTTCACGAAGTGTGATTAACTTTAATTATGATTTAATAACTAATCATACTTAACCTCGTGTAATTATGAATAGTTAATCATACTTAAAAATCAGTTTCACGAAGCGATTTAAGTACATATTTAACTAATCACATAATTAGCCGACTTGCACAAATTACACTGTATTCAAAATGGCAAACAACGCCAAAAGTACCTGCAAATTCTGTACATGAAAAGGAATTAATTTGCAATTACAATGACTAAATTAGTACACCTAATCTTAGATAATTTAAATTTCCTTGGGGAAAAATTTCCAATTGTAAAATGTGCAGCCTACTTAACATACTACTACTAGTAGGACTACTAGCAACTAATTATGATTAGTGGATTTAATCATGCTCCTGAGTAGAATTAAATATTGTGATTAACTTAATCATGATTAAAGTTAATTACGCTTCATGAAACAGTCACTTCAATTTAAGTACGGAAAGTTAATCATGATTATGGACTTAATTACGCTTCGTGAAACCGGCCCCTGATAATCACATAATAGCGCCATTATAGACATCAAAAATTAGAATTGAATCATTGGATAATGATTTAATATTTCAATGAAAGGGAAGGTAAAACCCCAAGCCCTATAAATACAAAGCAATGAATGAACTTCCCAATTTTTCCATTTTAACTGGTTACATTTTAACATGCATTTACATTAATATACATATAAATTAATCTGCAATGATAGAACCTAGAGTGTGTACCAGTTATTACTAGTTAATACTTCCTCTCATACCTCAAAATATCCCTTCTGATCTTCTGCTACATCGTTGAGTGGTATGTAGGGTTCACTTGTCTCCTGATCTACTAACATGGCATGTCGATGACTAAATGTGCCCCTTCCCACATCTTGCCCGCTGAGCCTCACATTGTAATCTACAAGAAAGAAAATACTAGAATACTGCAAAGCCCAAGTTTCACTACTGCGCCAAATGGTAAATGCTATGATTGCCATCTGTATTTGCCGTGATAAATGGACAAAATCCACGTCAACACACCACTGGTGCTGCCCTACCTTGCATAGGTCTGTAACTTTCTCATAAACTTCATTTTGCCAATGTATCATGCTTCATCCCACATTAATTGTGTTGTTACAAAGTGAGTGGGACTCATAACCTTCTTTGAACAGGTGTTATATAAATAATATATATATATACAAAGGGAGACAGAGAGAAATAGTTAGATAGATAGAGAGAAATACAGAAATACAGACAGAAATACAGACAGACAGAGATAGACTGCAGGCATGTATGTCTGAAACCATTATAGTATAACATTCTGACATTATACAAGTTAAATAGGTTAAATATTCAAGTTGAATGGGAATGGAATTAAAGCGCCTACCTTGCATGAGCAGAGAACCGATTGCCATAGATTCAGCTGTTGCCCAGTCGAGTGACGTTCCTTCCTCGAGCTGTTTTAACCGGACTGCGACGTGATGCTTCTTTAGGGTTTTATGTATCACCTAAACAAAAATATTGACATCCGTGTATCATCATCGTACGGTGCAAATATCCTTAAGTTGCAGCAGCATAAAAACACCCAAGATCCTTAAAACCGATGTAACCCAAAGCAACGTGCACACATGACGGAAACGTGGCCTCATTGAATTGTCGCGTAAATTTATGGTTTCTAGTTCAAAGTCATTGACACAACCTGTGTTCCTGTGTTAACACCTTGCATTTATTCACAAACATCGCTACAGAGTCGTAAAATTAACTCTAACAAGTGCGAATAAAGAAATAAGTGCTTTTTGGCTGTTATGTAGTTGAAAAATTTAGGGTTTTTTGCCATCCCAATGAATTTCACTGTATAGATAAATACATTAGATAAAGGACTACTTCTTACATGATCACACTCACAAAGTCTTTAGGGTACTGAACAGATTTGGCTCCTATATATCGAAGCAGGTCCATATTAATGCCAGTGTCCCAGGTTAGGATTTCATGTGGGGCCTGCACCATTCCTGCCCACTGTTTTTCCAGGTGAGTGGCCTACAGGTGAAGCAAGTAGGTTAGGTTATACACACGCACGCACGCACGCATGCACACATGCACACATGCACTTGTACATGCACGCACACACAGGCATGCACACACATCCAACCGAGGCCGAGGGCCGAGGCCCGACGGCGAGCCAGGGGGGAGAAAAAAAAAGGAAAAAGCGGGAAAAAGGGAAAAAACGCAAACAGGGCAGCGGGAGACAGGCGAAAGGGAGAGGCAGGCAGCGCGAAAACACAGAGAGCGGAGGCAGACCAGAAACAGGGGCAAAGGAAGCGGAAGCCAGGGGGGGGGAGGCGAGAAGGACACGGGGGGGAAAAGCCCAAAGGGAGAGAGTGCGAGGACCGGCGAAGGAGGGGAGAAGAAGAGAAAGAAAGGGGAGAAAAGGGCAAAGGACGAAGGGCCAGGAGAGGCAAAGCCAAAGGGACAAGAACGGAAGCGAGGCCAGGGAAACGGCGAACAAGAGGAGGGCCGGGGAGCAGGGGGAGGGGGAAGGCGGGGAAACGGCGGGGGACAAAGAGGGACAGGGGGGGGACGAGGGAGGGAGGGCCTGCGAGGCCGGCCGCGACGACTCGGAGGACAGACAGGGGAGAGGGGAAAGGGGGGCGGGGGCAGGACGCGGGAAGGGCCGCAGAGGCGGAAGCAGGGAGGGGGCAGAGGGGGACGCCGCAGGGAGACAGGGAGAAGCGAGAGGACCCAGAGGGACGGGGGCGGGCAAGGCGGGACGGGGGGAGGGGGGGCTGGCGGCAGGGGAAGGACGGAGAGAAAATCAGGCTCAAGGAGGGCCGGCGTCGGGGAGCAGGGACGGCGGGCAAGGGAGGGAGGGCGAGGACCACAGGGGGAAAAGCGAAGGGGGGAAGTAGAAAAAAGGTCCAGGGGGGGAGAGGGACGGGGGGGAAGGGGGCCGACCGCCACGAGAAGGGTTGACCGGCAGAGGAAGCCGCACAAAGGTATGGGGTGGCGGGAGCGCGGAGAAGGAGGAGGAGCAGGCGGACGCAGAAGCGGAGAGGGGGGGCAGGCAAAAGCCGACAGAGAGGGCGGCAAGCGTGGGGAGCATAAGGACGGAAGGCGGGGCGGAAAAAGAGGGCGGACGCAGAGGGAGCAGGGTCCGCGTAAGAAGAGTACGGTGGAGGAGGGGGAACAACCGGACGGCCCAAAGAGAATGGCATGAGGGGGGCAGATGTGGGCGAAAGAAGTGCGGGCAGCGGGATAGGAAGAGGGAAGGTGGTGAGAGCATGCAGACTGGCGCTTTCCTTTAGGCAACTGTTCCGGAAAGATGTCATAGTCGACCTGATGTGTTGGCGTCGCTGGGGACATAACGAACTGGACGACGCAATGTTTACGAACCCCGGCATGTACAAGATCATTAATGATCGTCAGAGTGTTCCAGACATGTATTCCGAACAGCTGGTCGTAAGTATGAAAGTAGTCGGTTTTAAAACACATGCTTTGTTGATGGATTTTTAGCTCATCTGACTTCGTCAGATGCAGCTTGTAGAATCGCATGAGCGTGCGTTGGTCCGTGCGTCTGTCCGTCTGTCCGTCCGTCCGTCAAGAAGAGGGTTAAACATGGATTCCTGAACTGCCTCAATGATGTCACAGTGTTCTCATATTCATGGCACATCCATAATCTGGAAAGCCACGGAACACGGCTGAAGCACAGGATTACGGCTCAAAGGTCCTTGGATCGAATCCCATCAGATTTTTTATTATTTACCTGTTTTCTGTATTTTTCTATCTTTATCCATTTAACTATTTCTTTCCAATTAAGGTAAATATTTACAGGATTTATTTACACAATTTCATAACAACAAATAATTTTTTTTTAATAGAGTTAGGGTTAGGGTCACAATGCACCATAAAACAAAAGTTTCAGGCACGCGATTTGTATCAACCAATGGGATTTGGGAGATATGCAGAATGCAGAAGGTTGCTGAAATGATGTGTACGCAACTGCGTATCTGCATATCTGCGCCTAACAAAGGTACGTGTCACTACGCACGACTTAAATGTTACGTTTATAACCGTAGCAACAGACCTCAGATGAACCCAGACGCCCTGCGGCTCTTGTTTTAAATGTAGAAATAAATAAAAAAGCGATCTAAACCTAAGTGAAGTATTTAATAACATCATTGTTTATGGTTAAATCCTTAAATTATTTACCTTGACAGTTCAGTTTAAGGATTTAACCATGAACAATGATGTTGTTAATGTTTTAAAAGAAATCCGACTGAACTTTGAAGATAACTTGAGTATTGTTGAGTAAGTTGAGACTTGTGTGTTTCCTACAGGCCGAGGAATATCTATGAGAATCTATAAGAAATTATGTGTGAAATGATGTGAGATGTAGATCAACAACTATTATGCAAGTTCTAGCATTGGTTGATGGCATATATTCAATGGCTTTCAGGAAGAAAACGTTCTGTCTCAGGAGGAAGTACAGAAAACTGTTGGTGACTACAATAAAGAATTGAATGACCACCACGAACAAATGAACAACTACACTCCAAAGGTGATGTTGAATAAGCATGTCGTATTTATATTTAAATATTATATATATTTAATTAATATTTATTTATATTAATAATATAATTATATTATATATGATAAATATATAATATATTAAATATATATTATATTTAAATAATATTATTTTTTATTAAATAAATATATATATATTATATAAAATTATATATAAAATTTATTATAATTATAATATAATAATTATATATTATATTTAATATATTATTAATTAATATATAAATTTATATATAATTTAAAATAATATATAAATTATTATTTAATATATATTATATAATATATAATATTAATATAAATTAATTTAATAATAAATATATAAACTAATTAAATTATATATATTATTATTAATAATATAATTATATATATAATATATAAATATATTAATATTATATATATATATATTTATATATATATATAAATATATAATTTAATAATAATAATTATTATATTTAATATATATAAATTATTTATATTATATATAATATATAATAAAATATATATATATATTATATATAGTATTTAATATAATATATATTATAATATATTACTATATTTGAATTTAATTAAATAATATAATAATAAATTATTATATATTTATATATAAAAAATATAAATATATAATATATTATATTATATATATAATATATATATATATATATATTATTATAGAAATAAATATTAATAATAAATTTAAAATATGATATATTGTATATTATATTAATTTATATGATAATTATAATAATTATTATATTAATATATTTATATGTAATAATATAATAATATTATTATTATTATAAAATAATTTGATATAAATAATTATTATATTTTATATAAAATAATAATATATAAAAAATATAAAATATTTAATATATTATTATATATATCATTTATACATATTTATTTATTATCTAATAAATAATATATTAGATATTATATATATTATATATATATATATTATATATTAAATAAATATTATATATATATATATATTAGATATTATAATTAATATATATAATTATATAATATTAATATATATAATATAATAATAATTTAATAGATATAATAATAAATTATATAATTAATATATATTATAATATTATTTAATTTAAATATATAATAATATAAATATAAATATTATATATTACTATAATATAATATATTATATATATTATATATATTAATTATATTATATATATAATATAATATATATATTATAATTAGATATTATATTATATAAATAAATATATATATATAATTTATATTAAAATAATAATTTATATTATATATATAATTTATATAATAATTATAATTAATATATAATTAATATTATATATATATATGATATATGAATATATATTATATTATAATATTATAATATATATAACTATATTAATTATATTATATATATATATATAAATATAATAATATATAAATGTAATAATAATATAATTATATGATATAATATATATAATAAATATATAATAAATGATATATATAATAATGTATATTAAAATATATAGGATATTAATAATTTATATAATATAATATAAATTAATAATTTATTATTATAATATATAATTTATATTAATATTAATAATTTAATATAATAAATATTAAACATTATAATAATATATTGTATAATAATATAAGTATAATATATATAAATATTATATATTATTATTATATCAATATAATTGTATAATTTATTTATAATATATATATATTATAAATAATATATTATAGTTATAATATTATATTATAAATATATATATTTAAAATATATATTAAGATATTATAATATAATTTATTATATTATAATATATATATATTTTAATATAATTAGAATAATGAATAATATATAAAATATAATAATTTATATATTATATATTAATATAATTATAAATTATATAATTATATAAAAATATATATATATATATATATAATAAATAATATATTTATATAATATAAATAATTATTATATTTTTATAAATATAAATAAATATATAGATAAATAAATATTATCATTAATTATTATATATTTATATTATTAAATATAAATATTATATATTATAAAGTTATATATAAAATATCAATATATAAATATATAAATATAATAAAGTAATAATAAATTATAATTAATAAATATATAATATTAATATTATATATAGATAATATATTTTATGATCTATATAAATTAACCTATTATTTATTATATAAATAATATATATAATTATATTATAATTTAAATATATATTAATAATAATAAATTATATGATTTAATATAATTATATTTATATTAAATATAATAAATATAAATAATAATTTATATTAATATTATATAATATATATATAATAATTATAATAAAAATTATATATAATAAATATAAGTTAAGTATATTATAAATATTATTAATAATATATTAATTTATAATAATTATATATTAATATATATTATATTATTTTATATTTAATATATATATTAATATAATATAATTATATATATATATTTATATATAATTATTTATATATAAAATATTATTATATATTAAATATATAATATAAATATATAATAAAAGTATGATATAAAATATATTTAATAATTATTAATATATATATATTAAATATTTTATTATTTAAATATTTATGATATTATATTTTATATTATAATTATAATAATATAGTATATAATATATATTATATAATAATTATAATATTATATTATATAATTATTAAATTATATATATATATATTTATATAAATTTATATTTATATATTAATTATAAAATTAATTAAATTATATATAATATAATAATATAATATTATATAGATATATATTAATGATATATTATATTATTATTATATATTATAATATATAATATTTATTATATTATAATATATATATTAATTAAAATATATAAAATTAAATTAATTTATATAAGTATTAATATTATTATTATATATTTATATATATTTATATTATATATTAGATATTATTAATATATTAATATATAATATTATATATAATTATATATATATCATTTATATATATAAAATAATAATTTTATTAAAATAATATAAATATATATTAATTTATTTTATATAAATTATATAAATTAAAATATTATATAATTAATTATATTAAATTATATATATAATATATATTTAATATATATTAATATTAAAAAAATATTTAGTATATAATGATATATTCATGATTATAGTATAATAATTTTTATATAATATATATAATAATATATAAATAATTAAATTTTATATAAATTTATATAATATATACTTATTTTTTAATATTAATTTATAAATAATATTAAATAATATATATATATATAATATTATATATATATAATATATAAATTATATTACTTATATATTAATATAATATATAGATAATATATTATTATATATATATATTATTATCTTATATATTAATATATATATATAAATTATAATAAAAAATGATAAAATTTAATAATATATATATAAAATTAATATTATATATTTAATTTATATTATATTATAATATATAATTATATATAATATAATATATATATATATATAATAAATAATAATATGATATATTAATATTATATATAATTAATAATATTAATATATTTATATTATATATATAATAATATTATTATATTATAATATATAAATAATATTAATATAATATAATAATATATATTTTTATTAATAATATATTAAATAAAATAAAATTATAAAAAATATATTATTATATAAATATTTATATTTAAATAATTAATATCATAATATTATAATATTATAATAAATTATACAATAATAAATATATAATAATATTATTAAATAATAAATTTTATATACTAAATATATATAATTATAATTAATAATATTAATTTTTATTTAATATATATATTATATAATTATAATATTTATTATAAATATATATAAATAATTATTTATATATTATAATATAATAATATTTATATATTAAATTATATATATATTAAAAATATAAATATTAATATTATTATAATAAAAATATTAAATAAGAAATAAAATTAATATAATATTTATAATATAAATTAAATATTTAATAATGATATTTAAATAAATACTATAATAATATTAATTATTTATATAATAATATAATATTATATATAATTATATTAATATAAAATATATAATATAATATCATATAATTATAATAAATTTATATTTATTTATTAATAAATAATTATTTATTATTATATATATATATATAATAAATAATATATGTATATATTATTTATATATTAATATAGTAATATATAATTATAAATATATATATATTTAAAATATTATATATATATATAATAAATAATAATTATATTAATTAAATTAAATTAATAATTAAATAATATATATATATATTTATAAATAATTATAAATTATATATATTAATTATATTTTTAATTATATTGATTTATAATATATATTAAATATTATTTATAATTTATATATTATAATAGTATAATATAATTATAAATATGATTTATTATTTTTATTATATCTAAATATATTAATAATATATATTATAATTATAATTATATTATATAATATTAATATATATTAAATATTATTATATAATATATAATATATTATAATAATATATTTAATTATAATATATTTATATATTATAACTAATTATATATTTATATTATAATAATTATATATATTAAGTAATTATAAATTATATATATATAATATTATATATGATAATATATATATATATAAATTATATAAACAAAAAAAAAATATAATAATATACATAATATTAATAATAAATATATTATTATAATAATATTAATATATAGAATATTAAAATTATTATATTTTCATTATAAATAAATATATAATATATAAAATAATATAATGTATATTAA